CCCACCCCCAGCCCGCGGCCGGGCGGTGGCGAGGGCCGGGCGGTGGGTGTTGGCTTCTACCTCTGCGAGCGGGGAGGGGTTAGTTTCCCACAGGGGATTTCAACCATCACACTCAGGGCCCGCCTCCTAATCCTCCGGCGGAGCGGCTCCGGGCCCCATTTTATGGCAATAAAGCGACTTAGCGCCTGCTGAGCGAGCCCCTCCCCGCCGCCGCCCCCGCCCTCGGCCCCACCCCGGGGCTCGCCCGCAGCGGCGGAGCTTTGTTTCTGGGGAGGAGGACCCCGAGCTCTTTTGTTTGGGGGTTTGGTGTTTTCACCCCACCCCACACCACCCTACCCCACCCCCTGCGCCTCTCGGGTTTCCTGAGCCACGGGCTGCCAGGGAGGAGAAGCGGCGTCCTGCAACCCCCCTCGGCTGGGCCCCGGGGTAATTCGATGCGGGCCTGGAGAGGCTCCCCACGCTAGACCCGGGCTAGCGTCTCGGCAGCCTCCACCCACCGGCCCACCCTACATTTAGCGCATCATGTGATCCGGGTAAGTCATTTGCAAGTACAACAGTTCCCTGGGTTGCCCCCCATTCATTTCCTGAGAACTGCAGAGAGCAGCTGAGAGGCTCTGCTTGTGCGTGTGCGTGTGAGTGTGTGCGCGCGCGTGTGAGAGAGAAAGGGCGAGGGAGAGGGAGAGAGGGACTCTGTGTGAGGGAAAGAAAACAATTTCTCCTGCTCTGCAGCTTCTGTTCAGGTCTGTGCCGATTCCGTTTCTTATCAAAATAAACAACCCCCTCCTTTTTTTGCCATCCCAGATCAGACCGTATTCTCTTAACGTGTTTTATTTTCCTTCTGTCATCTGCTCAAGTTAAATCATTTTGGTTGGTCTGTGCTCTTAAAGGGGGAAAGTGTTGGGAAGCGGGAGGGGGCCTGGGAAATGCAATGCTATTGCTAAACAAGTAGCGTCGGTCGGATTCGTGGAGAAGAAAGAGGGAGGTTACTTCCCCCACTCCCCTAAAAAAATGTTCTTTTTAAAAAAAGAACTTAACAAGTAACGTGAATTGAGCAAATGTTTTTCTACCCCTAATGGGATCGTTGGTTGCGGTGTTGGCCTGACAGCTGCCAAGGATGAGGCATAAAACCCCAGGGCTGAGTTGGGGTGGGGGTGGGGGTCGTGGAAGTAGTTGGCCCCAGGAATAGAGTGGGTGGGAGGAATCGCTGTCGCACCGGGCCGTGTGGGCTGTGTGTGCACGCTGCCGAGCGGAGGAGAAGGGGTTAAGGCGGCGATGACACTGCTGGCATGAATAGTGGTCCTGGTGCTACATTCATTATTGTCTCCGGTAGTAATGATGTGTAACTGTCAGTTGCTACAGTGCTTGGTCCGTGGAGGTAGCCAGAGGCTGACCGGTGGTTGTTATTTTCAATTACGGGGGATCTGGCCGGAGTTGACAAGGGGCAACTTTGCACGTCCACCTGGGCCGGGAAGCCCGCGGAGCCAGCCGGAGAGCCACTTCGTGCGGTAGAAGCTCGCTCCAGGGCTCGGACTTGAACTCCACGACTTTAGTTGGTGTTCCTGTTAGATGCTCGCCTACAGGGAGAATCAATCCTGCTTTTGTTGGGTAGAGAACTGCCTCCTGGAACTTTGAAAACTTTTATCTTTGGGGAAAAGGGTGAGGTGCACTCAACAGTTTTGTTTCACTGTGCACGGGAGGCAAATGCCTGAAAAAAGTACCAATTCCTTTGTTATATGCCCTGCTGCTTCCCCACCCCCTTCACCCTGCTCTTCGAGTTTTGCATACTTTAGTAGTAATAACCTTAACTCAGCTGATAGGAGCTGACTGTTGAGCTAGAGTATTAGTACGACGGAATGTGTAATCTGGATAAACAGTTTGTGTGGGTAGTATTGTCAGGTCTCTAATTGAACTGTACAAATGGCTCAAGTATCCTTCTGTATGGATTGTTTTAAGTAATTCCACTGGCTAATAGAATTCTGTGCCGAGCACACAGGTATTTTTAATTCAGCTTTAATAATGTTTTCTCTAGAACACCAAGCAGCGCTATTTACATTTAGTGCATGTGCATCTAGTTGCTTCGGTAGACATCTGCCAATCACGTACACGTCATTCTGCAAATCCACCTAGGTGCCTCCATGCCCTTTTCTTAGTGGAGGATAGAGTTGATTAGATAAGTAAATGCACTGAAATAAATTTGGTGGCTTTTAGCAAGCAGCAGCTTGTGATGGCAATAGGAGTGGGCACTTTGAAGAGAGCGGACTATATTCTAAGAAATGCGTTTAGAATTGGCATTTAATTCTAGCGGAACCCTTTCCTCCCAAAGGAGAATAAACCTGCTTGTGCCTTTGGCAGACCTCATTCGCATGTTGCTTACAATTTTAAAAAACTCAGAAATAGGTAACATTAAAAGGGGTTACAGACTGTTAGGGTAGAAAAATATCAGGTATAGTTTATCTTTGTAGAAATAAAATGTTGAAGGACAGACATTTCAGTTGCACAAGGTACGTCTTTATCTCTGCAGCCTGGTTAATCTTCATACTAGATTGAGTATATTAAACTCCTTGGAGCTGAGGAGAGATCAGTGTGGGCACACAAGAATTGGCAGAAATTTGTGAAATTATTTAGGAAAGACAGCATTCTACCAATTCATAACTATTGTGAAATAAATATACTTAGGGTGGTAAAACATATTTTTCACATAAAAATTTCATGGGTTATGAACTGACATTGTAGTTAATATAGCCATGTCAGCTTAGAACACTTTTGAAGGATTTATTTTTGAAATCCTTCAGTTACTATGTTTTCTGTTACTTAGTAGGGCATATTTGAAAGAAACTTCAGTCAGCTAAACTTTATCGAGGGGATGCTTTTTATTAGATTATTGAATGAAAATTATTGTGCTAATGAGCTCTAAATATTCCCCTCTCTCCAAGTTCCTTTTCAAGAAATGCATGTCTTTTGGAAGGAAATGGTCCTGGTGTAGCATTTGAGACCTTGACCTTAGCAACTCTTGGCTGGTGGTTGTTTACTACCCGCTGCAGCCTTAGCGTGTACTGAATGGGAAGGGACTGCAAGCAAACTCCCTGCTCGATCGCTCTGTCTCTCCCAGGCCCAGGGGAGAGTGAATCCAGCCTTATGTTGAGTTCACAGAATGTGCATCGGTTGTAGTGTATCCATAGTGTTCTGGTCATGTGAAAATATGTGTTGCTCAGGGATTTCTTCTGGCCTGAGAAGGGAAACATGTATTTTCACAGCCTCAGAGTGAGTTTTCAGGTATTACATGGCGAAGCAGACTGTTATCAACTTAATGAAATAATTTGATCTAAAACATAGGCATGTTTCATCTCAGCAAAGAAGACTTAAGTGCTTAGGCCTTCAGGCTTGTACTGAGGGCGTTTTGAATTGGAAATGTTGGTTAATTTAGTTTTGAGTAACCTTACCCAGTGAGATGATACTGGAAAACAGTGGAACATACAGAGGTTCTGGGCATTTTCTCCCATATTCAAAATGAAAAAAATGGAATTTCCTCTTTATGCAAATTAAATAACTTTAGGATAATTATATTAAATTGTGATTTTAAGTGGCTTGTTTTCTTTGTATTTTGAGAGAGGCAATCTTTAGAGTGTCAAGTTCATAATCTAGCCTGTAGTTTGTGTCAAATTCATTTAAAACTCAAAAACTTTTCCTCTTTTTTTGAATAAATGTTTACCCACTTGTACGTTCATGTTGATTAATAAATGCACCAGAGCTAGAAAAAAACAATCAAAATTGATATATTGTATTTTTTTGTTCACGAAATAACTTTCATTTTTATAAATTCTGAAATGGGTGGTAGTTGCTTATCTGTGAGTGTTTTGAAAATACCATATGAGAAGAGACTAGAAATGACTGTATTTTTGCTGTGTTCGTGTGTTTGCCTTTTTAAATTAAGATTTAAAAAATTTTTCAGTCTATAAGTTACAGCTTTCAGCTTTAAATGTGTACAAAATGTAAGAGTAAAAATATTAAAATTAAGTCACTGGCAACACCCTATTAGAACCACAGCCTCAACTCACCCACCACAGCCACTCCTCCCAGAAGCAGAATGGGAGTAAACAGATGGGCCTTGCCCTATGCCCAGAAGGTCATCTGCCTCAGGCTTGGTCAGTCCTGCTTGATTTCTAGATTCCAAGCCCTGCCAGAGAGCTGCCTGCTTGCCACTGGCCAGAATTCATTTTCAGGGCCTAGGCCGGCCACACCCCATCTGATGTCAGCTACTGAGTTCCTTTGGTCAGGAACACATGCTGTGGATTAAATGGTTACTTTCTCTGTATATTCTCAGTAATTATGTTACAAAAGGATTTTTCGGTTTTGGGTGTTTATTATCATAAAGTGGCTACTTGAGTAATCATATTGCTCCATGAAAATTTGTTTTGGCCTGGCACTAGATACAGGATATTCACCCAAAGCAGTCTGCTCTAGCATAGTCTTTTTTCTAACTTAAAGCAGTATTTTTCTTTTGTTGCTTATCTCATGGTCTATGTAGTAATTGGCCTGGTCCAAATGGTATTGTTTAGGTAGAGAGTAGCAGAAACCCCTTGTGATTGTTTTCCTGCATGGAAGGTGAGAGGGAAAAAAAATTGGAAAGCTTTAGGATAGTTTTCTCACCTCCATCAGAAGCTGTAGAATCTATTGTGGGTTACTACCTGTGGGCCTTGATAGCCGGGAATTATATGCCAAAGGGCAGTATTCATTGAGCTTTTCAGTTGATACAGCTTTTGACAATACTTTTGTCATGATGTGTATGTATATGCTATGTGTGATGTAGTTTTACTATTCATATATCTATATAGTATTGTATTTGTGCCTATGTTTTTATATTCTCTATGTTGGATATATACCCCTACATAATACACATTTTGACCAACAATTACAGTGTAAAAAGGACAAACACACTGAGTCTGTATTTTTAAAATTCTATCTTTAGTAATACAGTACTATTCTCACTTTGAGATTAACAAGCTAGTCCATAACAACATGTAAAAACCATGCCACCTCTAAAAACAAAACAAAACAAAAAACCCACTAAAGGCAACTAACATAAATTATTGTAAGAAAATTGAAATAAGAATAAAGGAAACTCTTCATTAAGGAATCAGAGCTCTCATCTCAGTGGCAGAATGTCTCAATTTGAGTTGCCCTCTCTTCCTTACTAACTCTGGATGACCTTGGTCAAATTTCTTAACTGTGATGAGGATTAAACGAAGTCATGTGGGCAAAAGCCACTTTGTACTGTAAAGTACTAGTGTAGCAACTGATTCCTTAGGAAAACTCCTCCCCTCACCCCCATCCTGTATCTCCCACCCCACAAAAAGGGATGGGCTCTCTAGCTTCTGAAAGTGAGCATATAAATTACACTTATGGAGAAGGAATTTCCGTGTGGGTAGAAAACTGCTGGCAGTCAAAGGTCGTGAATTCCATTCTTGTCTCCACCAGAGGTTTCCTCCATGACCTTGAGAAAGTCACTCGGAAAAAGTTTCTGTGTAGTTGGTATAAAAGTGACTGATGATTAACGTTTATATAATACAGATGAAGTATCTGAGCTTTTCAAAAGAAAAAAAGTGCATAAAAATGCAGTTAACATGATCATTTAGAGAAAATTGAAAGTAAAGGTTAACATTACCCTCCTCCCCCACCTCTTTCTCACCTGGGATTTGAACACAGGTGTACTCAACCATCAAACCAAACCCCCCTTTTTCTT